GGGCGCGGTAGGCGTTTGGGTCGGTATGTTGTGGCTTGATAGGGCCCTTATAAGGGCACCTTCCTTGGAAAAGGCGCTATGCAGCGCCTGCTCAGGGTCGCGGAATTCCGTCCTGCCAGGCGTATTAATCCTACTCGTCTTGGGGGATTTATCGTGCCAATTGCCTTTGAGAGGTCACCTTGCCACTTTATTTGAGCCCTACTGCCCACCGTTTTTGGTCACTTTACCTGCGTTCAATGAAAAAAGACTTATCATTGGAGCAGCCGAGAAAACAAAGAACGCCTACGAAAAAAGACGTGGGCGATCACACCGGGAACTTTTCAATGCAGGGTTTGACTATGACTATGATTGATCTTAAACCATATCGACTCCGATTGCATTAAACACTTATTAGAGACCGCTGGTTGTCCTCTGGCTTTCTTCTTTTCCCATTTTCTTCCTGTACAACACTTTCGTCGGTTCTTAACTTTCGCTTTTAGGGTTTCAGGTCGTAGTCCGTTACGCCCCCACCCCACCTCCGCGCTAGACGGTAGTTTTTCGAAAAAGTAGGGATAATAAACTGAAGTATCGCTCCAGGAAAGCGGTAAGTAGTCGGTCAAATTTAGGAAGTGGCAGGTAAGAGGAGGAAAGGCAGCGGAGGGTTGTGGTCGCACGTGAAATAATTTTGAGAGGAGGAGCGTCTTTTGCAAGGAATTCCCCCAACAGCAGGACGTGCCCTGCTAACAGCTTCACTACTATTCTGCCAACCTTGTTGTAGAGGGAAAACCGTTCAAACTGTCGGTAAACGTTCCCCTTCCGTGTCTCAAATCATGACAAGTAACCCGACTCCTCACAGTGTGCGCTAATGTGCTCCTCTGCTAAAATAGCGCTCTATTGCCAGTCATATGTTTTCCAGCTTCTGCCTATTGGATGCATATTCTGAGAATATTGTGTTGTATATTCTGTGTTTCTTCGACATTTCCTTCTTGTAGTGTCAAAATTTTCAATATGGCTAATATATGTGTGCTTTTCGGCTTTAAAACCACGAATATATTGAGTTTTCTCTGCCTATTTTAGGAGCTCATGAAATCGTCTTCGTCTCGTCCAACGAACGTGGGTATGACACCTCGACAGGATCCTCTAACGTTTGAGGTTAGTTGAAGTATTATCTATTTTTTTCTTCCTACTTCCGTACGTAATCCATGACGTTGACGGAAAGTCAGCGTTGGATCGTGCGAGTCCATGTTGTTCTAGAGCATTCTCCTGAATAGCCATTCAGTGTTGGATGGAGCAACGAGGTCAGAAAAAACTGGAGAAATATTTTTTCTGCTGTTGTTTGGCCAACGTTCTGCTAATGCGGCCGTAGGCGCAATAGTAGTGCCGGGACACAGTCGTCTACGCGAAAGTTTTTTCTGCGAGGTCGTGGTGCCTGAAAATTAGCATAAACAAAATGAAATAAAATGAAAGGCTCGCCGGCGTCTTTCTCCTAATCAAGGTTTAGGCCTAGTGGGACTGTCTTCTCTATGGGACTGTCTTAGGCGACTCCGGTCGTCGGCGCTGTCGCGGTATGCCTGAGCTTTTTCACAGAAGTGCGGCGTAGACATTCCACTCCCCCTCCCAACAAGCCTCAAATGGCAATTTCCTTCACCTCCCCTCCTTTTCTAATGGGTGGTAAAATCTAAATGCAACATCACATTCTTTTTTTCTTTCACTGGTTTTTATACGGTTCTTTTTACTGTTTTGCTACTGTATCCAACGTTTCTTCAGGTCCTTCCTCAAGAAGGTTTGAAGAATGAAAATATCGAATTTATCCTTGGTATGCCTTTGAACCAGGCGAGTTTTCGCATGTATTAATGCTTTTTATTCGCTTCTTTTCGCTGTATAACAACAGCTTTCTATATGCTTTTTCAGGTCCTTACTTTGATTCAACAGAAATGCTCGAATCTTGACTAATGTCGAACTGATGTATTCAAGAAAGGTACAGTATTTTAAATCATTACTCATTTCAGTACAGTCATAATTGTGAGCCATCTCCATGCAGTTCCTCCTTGAAACCTCGCCGTGATGTCAAATTATATGTTTTGGTCTGAATTTGCGATGTCGTGCACTTTGCTGACTTAAGAAC